AATTATTATTTAATTGCATTTAGATGGTGTCCTCCAATTCTATATTTTGTATTTTGTCCTATAAGGTATGCGTATGGATATTTTGGTCTTCTAGGGCCGAAAAGAATTTCAATTCAATAGCAATTTCATTATAATGATTATTTCATTGAATTTAGATGATGTCCTCAAATATGCGTATGCGTATAGAATTCTTAGGCCTAGGGCAAACGTCGAACTTTCCATGCACCGAACTTAATTACATCAAAGAATGCCGCCTCATTATCACCTGATATCCATTGTTTTTAATGAGTTCGGTGCATGGAAAGTTCAACATTTGCCCTAGACCTAATCTCCTCTAGGGTCGAATAGAATTTCAAGAAGTTGTGCATTACAATTTGAAGCAACAACTGCTGTTTCCATGTTAGGCTGATCCCCAAGTACTCTCTTTCCTGTTTGGCATAACGTCACGCATGTGTCTCTCAGAAGAGTGTTAGTGTAACGCGTGTACGTCAGATCTGAAGCGTCCACCATTTTGGATTTTGAAGAGCCAGGGAAAGTATATGTCCATGGCTTTACTAGGCCAAGGAAAAATAAGATATATTATACACACATAATGGCTAGCAATAGCACCTCAACAGATATGAGATAAAGCTATTTTTAATACGTTAGTTGATTACTTTCCATCATTTCATATCAGCACTGACTGGAAATAACAATCTTTAATTTCGTTTCTATCGATAAACGCGTGTGTATTCCAGACCTGCGCGCGGAAGAAAGAAAGAAMGAAAGAAAGAGAGAGAGAGATTGAGAGAGAGTGAGAGAGAGAGAGAGAGAGAGAAAGGAAGAAAGGAAGGAAGRAAGGAAGAGATTAATAAAGCCAAGGAAAGATAGATTATGCTTAGATAACTATTGGCTATTTTTGTAACTGTGACATTAACATCACACATTCCTACAAAATGCATGACTCTAATGAGTTACCTTTGGACAATCAGCTTTCATGACGCTTGTCAAACAATTACTATGTCATCGCAGCCGTCATTTACTTTTGCTCCAGGTAAATCATCTACTTTCTGATAATCAAACGACTTGGTAGTATCCTCTTCTGTAGACGTATTTCCTGAAGTTTCGTTTCCTAAAAGAATACAATTTACATGGGCAAAATAAAAGGTTACAATGAGCTGGGATTGAATGTGTCAGTTGTAACCTAGTAACAGAATAATACGAAATAACAGACCTCAAGCATGATGACGTTTTATACCTAGACTTCCAGAATCCTTTTCAGTATTTTTTATTTTTATTTTTATGCTAGTTTTCAATATCCTCTTGGTATTCTCTAAGGAGTTTTAACATTTAAATTATATAGAAAAAATATCATGAAAAGAATTGTGGTAGTTTAGGTATGAAACGTTATCAGGTTTAAGGTCCATTATACATACACACAAGCATTTCCATTTCTTCTTTCTGTCATATCGGAAATCTACATATATACTGGAGGGGGGGGGGGGGCTCCCTATTAAAAGGGGCCGGGGGTCCTCTTCGGAAATTCCGAAAATGACACCTAAAAGGGACCTGTATTTTGGGATGATGGGCATGGCAGTGATGAAATTTCACCCCTAAGAGGGACCAATCAATAACGCATTTTTTTGTTTGGTTTCTCGATTTTATTTGCACCAAACGGCGTCTGCTCTAACGAGTTTATGACGACGTCGTCATGTACAAATCGCTTGCCTTTTTTGCAGTTTTGTTGTTAATATCATACCCTAAAAGGGACCACGAAATTCAGTTGGTGTGCAATCTGGTCATCACCCTAAGCGGGACCAAAACCCTGATTTCAAACCCTAAAAAGGACGACGAGGAGCCCCGCCCCCTTTTATAAGGAAGTCCCCCCCACCCCGGGACACATGCATCAAGTATTGATATGGTGAGGGAGTCATTACCCGGCTTATCTGCGCTTGCCATGGTATCTGTGTTATTTGATATTTGTTCCTCTGATGTTTGTTGTAATGACTGGTGGGATTCAGATGCTAGACTGGTTATGGTCAGGATATCTGGTAACAAAATAGCAATGTTATACACTTCTAGAATGACAGACCTCGTAAAGTTATTTGGGCATTAATTATAAAATATGATCTTACGACCAAATAATACCCAGCCACTATTCTACTTTCCTTGGAAGCCCACCATGCATTACTATTTGCAAAAAATACACAGCATTCAATACCGTTTATATGTAAATGTATATGGACACGAATACTGTAGATTGCTTGTCAAACGTCTAGGTTAGCTCCTTTGTGTTTCACTAAAATTTTCAAAATTATGCAAATGAACACAATTTTGTATCCAATTTACAACAGTCTTCACGGTCGCGTTTTCCTCATGAATTATTAATGAGTTTGACAAATATATATTGATAGGACGTTAGTTGCGACAATCAATCAACCAATTTCAACAATGCGGAGGGTAAAGACACGAAAAGAGACTAATCTAGAACTCAGGGGCGCTTGTACGCCAAGAAAAAGTGGATGGAGTTATGCACTAGTAATTATCATGCTCTTCTACCAGAGTCGTTGTCACCTGACATCTGAGTGCTGGAATCTTTCTGATCCTTTTTCTTCCTTTTTAAGGTGCTCCACACAAAGAATCCAATAATGAGAATAATAAGAACCGCTATGATGACTGACAACACAATGACCACGCCTTCAAGCTTAGCGCTGCTTTCACTTTTAGCTTCTTTTGCTGTCAAAAGATAATAAACAATTCAATGTTTCCTTTAAGGCGCATATTTTAAGTATTGGCGCTCGCGGCTTCTCCTCGTGTGACGTTAAGACTCTCTAGCGCGTTCTCTAGTGTGCATAATTGATGAATCAATCAGTACGTGCGTTACACTAAGGCATGCTATAATTTCGYTTATGGAACGATGACTAGCGTTTCTGATTGATATGACGCCATAGTCATCGGTTCATCGCTAAAACGTGCTGCCATTAATATGAGCTCAGCCTGTACCTATTATCCATCAAATCTTACTCCAACCAAATTCATTCAGTATGTTTCTAATTTCTTCTGTCTAACCCATCTCCACGCTCGAAATAAAACATGTGAATAAATAGAGGTTATTCCACTGCTGGTTTGGTATTGCAGCCAGATCATTTTATGAGTAAAAGCGAAAGTATTTTTGTTTTTCCGAGCCCTCCAGGTGCGAATACTACTTCGACTTCACGAGATCTTACCTTCAGTGGTTTGAGATTTGCTAAGTTTTGTCTTGAAATCCACAAAACKTGATTCGCCATATACTCTAGACTTGTATAGATAGAAAAGCGGTAATTCAATTGCTTCCAAAGGATCATTCAAAGCATAATCTGTGACTTGGTAAAGGACTATTGGTCATTCATTAGCGTGATTCCATAGAGTTTTGGGTGCACTTGGGAGATTGCTTAAGCATGAAGGAAGCGTAACAGTCGCATAAGAAGTAGACTACCAAATGCACCTAAAACTTGATGAAAGCACACAAAACTGCTCTAGCGCGCGCTACTTAACCACGTCAGCGTACACTATCGATATTTGGATGCACATTCGCGCACGCTAGGTAACCAATCAGAGCATGCATTTTTATGATAAACCAGCTGGTAAACTTACGATCAGTGCTTCCAAGCCTGGACCTCTACTAAGTTCTGCCTCAAGAATGACACAACATCCGACAAACATATGCTTAACAAAACTATGGTCAAAAAAACTATGGTCAAAACTAAGGAATATTTCTGTTTCTACTTACCCCATCAACTGCCATGGTAACGATCCTCACGTGTACTCTATACATAGATCCGGGTTCTAACGGTGCGTTATAGTAACCATGGTAATACTGACCGTCACCAATGGTTAGATTCAAGACAGTACCCAGGATCTCTGCCGTGATGTAACTATCATTACCCATCTGTGTTGCCATAGTAACGTTGACTTCATTGTAGACAAAGGGTGGTTGTCGTTCATAGGATTTCAAGCGTTGTTCATTATTTTTGTTTTCCACTGCCACTTGATACACACTAAAAACAAAATATCTATTAAAAGAGCAACATGTACAATACGATTAACAACATGTATATTAAGCTCTTTGCCTTGCCATACTGGATTCCCTTCGATATACTATTACTAACACTAATATACTGTTGTACTAATTATTTTAATTGCAGACGATTACCTTTTTAATTGTCCTTCAGTTGCCTTCGAATCATTGAACAAGATCACCACCGTTGTTTCTGTAATGGCGTTGGCTTCATTGACTTGGAATCGAGGAGCATCAGCTGAGGTTGGCATAAAATTGTATCAATCCAGGGTTATACCGCAAGTTACTTTTAGAAAAATATACAGTAATAGAACTTACTAATCTTGCACATGATTGCACCATCGTTGCTATGACTACATGCCGTTGTATTCGCCAATCCTGGATGACGACATTCAACTATCGAGTTCTCTGTTCCATTACAATCCAGACTACTTAACCAGATAGTACCATTTCCCGGTATGAAGGTGGACTTTGGGTACACCTTACTTGCCCCGGTATATCCGAGCATACGACAAATCACCTTAGCATCGTTGATGTCTAGTCCCTTGTTACATATTGTGCCCCATACGTTACCATAGCGAACACCAACACGACCAGAGTTGGGTAAACTTCCGTCTTCTAAACGAATTTGCACTGCATTATCTGTTAGGTATGGTAAAAAATAGCACATTTCATTTTAAAAGCTAAAAGGAGGAAACATGTACGTTGATTTTTGGTTAACGGTATACTGCTTTAATAAAACTAAATTTGAAATTAACTTTGTTTATAGAGAATGCCACTCGACAGTAATTCAACTAATAAACTCGTGGTCCTCAATTCAAACGCATCTAGTTAATTAGGGACGGGACCGCAGTAACATTGGTCATCCGAGGCACGTGAAGTTCTAACCTTTGGGCGATCTTTACAAAGGCAGCACCTCCTCCTCAGTTATTCTAAGACCCTGAGTGTCGGTCCAGCCGTGGCTTGCTTGAACCACCACCAACCGCACAATAGACTGACGCTCTTACCTCAGCTAAGCTATAGCTGTGTTAAACTAACTATACATATATATACAATTGTTTAACATTTTGAATAAAATCCGACTTACTTGCTGGTTGACATAAGACACCAGCCAAACGGTTGTCATGGCAAGCAGTGTTCGTCCATCCACGATGATAGCATTCACTAATCGATAACTCATCGCCACTGCATTCCACTCCACCAATCCACAGTCCAACCTTCCCTGCGTTGAACCTCTTGATCGCCGCTAGTGCTGCTTTGTAACCAAGCATTCTACAGACCACGTGGGCGTCTGATATATCCCAAGTATCATCACAGACTGGTCTCCAGGTCCCGTTGTAGCTCACTTCTACGGAACCGAAATGATTGTATTCAACTCCAACAATACGAACAGCAACATACGATTCTTCTAAGGTGAGAAGAAAAAAAAAAGAAAGAAAATTAACGTGTGAATAACGGTTTTCGAACACGTTTACGTTTGACTACCATCAAGAAAAATATTAAAAGATTAAAAGTCGCTATTTAATTGCTATTAAATATTACCGTAAAACAGTTCGATAATACAACGCAACTCCGGAAAGGATAATTTACCCCACCACTCGTCGTCCTTTTTTTACCATTAATTTTGGAAAGGTCAGCCGTTCATAGAATATCAAGTCATTAATGAACAGCTATAATCATGGGGTATGTATTGTCTCGTACTAAATAATCGATCAATAATCTAAGCGCGTTTTTAAGGTGACAGGCGGTATATCTATAATGATGGACCTGAGTTCAATCCACTCACTTTGTCAATTATTTCTCTTTGATAGGTTCACTGCCATTTTCTTACCTTGTGTTAGCATCGCACAAGTAACAGAGGCATCTTCCATGTGTTCGCAGTTATGTTGACCCCATCCTTGGTGTCTGCACTGTTCCAATGACTTCTCTTCTCCACGACACTTTACTTCGTCTAGTAGTACGAATCCTTTTCCCTGGACTTTAGCAGTTCCTGCCCAAGATGCTTTGCTGTAGTTTAACATACGACAAACCACGTGAGCATCTGCTAGGCTCCAACGGTCATCACATACAGTGCCCCATACTCCATAATATCGAACCTCTACCCGACCTTTATTTGGAGTGCTTCCATTTACCAGACGAACAGCTACGTTAGGAAGCTGATCTGATGGGCAATAAAAGGGACTTTAAAATCATATTTTCAAAACAAATTGTAATTTTAGTTATTACTGACCTTCACTAACTTTGCAATAAGCAGCAGCCGTGAGTGATTCAGGGCAAAACGTGTTGGTCCATCCACGATGGTAACATTCACTGATCCATTGTTCTTCCCCAGTGCATTCAACATTACTCATCCATAAGCTACTATTCAAGACACTAAATCGCTTCTGCCCCAAAATTGCTCCTTTGTAACCTAGCATTCTACAGACCACGTGAGCGTCCAATATATCCCAGGTATCATCACAGACTGGTATCCAGGTCCCGTYGTATTCCACTTCTACTTGACCAAAATAGCTGGTCTTGTTTTCAACGAGACGAACAGACACTGAAAATAAAGGCAAAAACATTATTCCATAGTGATGATATTAATTTTCCACATCTCTTTTGAGGATAACAGCAGGAGTAGTTTGGCCTTAGCACGTGAACTAATCGTTGCAAATTGCAAGGGAAGTCCATAGCGCAGCGCAACCGTGACGTCATAAAAACGTAGACAAAGGCAAAATTCGGACAAACAAACTTACAAGTTTACTTTCAGCAGATAATTTTCACARCCGATCGCAGTTGATCTTAGTTTACATGGGTTATTATTGTAACTTTAAGTAAAAATAATAAAATCGGTTCGTATAATCGTCGTAGCGGTTAAACAGAATGCAATGTTTGTCCGAATCTTTAAGCTATTTTTAGAATCAGTGCGCTGCGCTATTGATAAATAAACGAAGTAAAGCCATTAAAGAAAATACTGAACGATGATATATGATATATATATCTATATA